GAGCCCGCGGTTTCACTGACAAAGTTTCTTCACAGAGTGAGAAAACCATCAAAGGGACCCGCAGGCCAGGTGGGCCATGAGGGGGTTAACGGACAGGCGAGGACATGGGCTTGGAGGGCGTGCCTGGGCCTGGCTGGGTAGTCCCGCCCACACCACCCAGCTGCCACTCCCTCAGGCCGCTCACCTGCCATCCCCAGAGTCCTCCTGTATCCAGAGGACCAGGGAGGGGCTGAAGCACCCAGGCTGGGGGCCTGCTGCGGCTGGCCCCTAGGCAGCACTCTCCTCTGCAGGCCACCAAAGCCTGTCACAGGGTGACCTGAGGCCCGGTGCCCGCTCTCCCCATGCTGCCCCTCCCATTCTCTACAAACCCCGCCCCTCAGGCTCCACCCCCACAGGCCCCCCGACCCAAAGTCCCTTCTGCAGTCCCTGCTTGGCCTCCCTGGTGCAGGTCTGTGGAAGGACCCCACCCAGAGTCCGGGCCTCCAGTGAAGAGCTGCCCTCTCCCACCTGCTTCTCTGCCAGGACAGCCCACATTTCCGCTGGGGAGCGGGTCTCCCGGGTCCACAGCTTCCACTCCCCACATTGCACCTCGCCTCCTGCCTCCCACAACCGCCACCGTCCAGAGGGAACAGCGAAGCCCAGGAGTCCCTGCTGTCTGGTGGCCTTTGTGCTCAGTCCGCATGCCCATCAGTGATGGGCGGGGCGTTGTGGTCACATGGGCCGGGGTCAGGGAGGAGCGTGCCCTGCGAGGGCCTCTCCCAGTTGACCTTGAGCAGAGGGCTGCCCAGCTTGGTGCCAGGGAGGCGGTGTGGACCTCTCGGCTCAGAGGTGTGGCCTGGGTGGGGACCAGGAGGTCAGGGGACTTTAAGTGAAGTGTCTTCAGGCGGGAGAGAGAAGGAGCAAGTTCCTGGAGGAGACAAATGTGTGTGCAATAGGACTGGGGCAGAGGGCATGGTGGCCTGAGGTGTGAAATACAGGTGGCCTCTGCAGCCTGAACGGGGACCACAGCAAGATGCGTGAGAGCGTCCTGCACTGAAGACCCCTGAAGAGGCCAGTGTGTTTTTAAAACACATCTTTTTCATTCAGCTCTTAAAAATAAATATATTAGGTATGTAGCTAATCACACAGCTAACATCATATGCAATGTTGAGAAGTTGAAAGCTTTTCCTTCAAGATTTGGAACAAGGAAAGGATGTCTAGTTAGCCACTTTTACCCCATATGGTCCTAGGGTCCTCACCAGAGCAATTCACAAGAAAAATAAATAAAAAGTATTTGTATAAGAAAGGAAAAAGTTAACGTTTCTTTGTTTGTCCATGACATGGTCTTACATTTAATAAACTGTAAAGGATCTGTCCAGAACTTATAAACAATTTCAGGTTAAAAATTCAACATATAGGGTTGAGGAGTATACCTCACTAGTAGAATATTTGCCTAGCATGCACAAGGCCATGGGTTCAATCACCAGCATAAAAAAATCAATATACAACAATCACAATTGTTTCTATATACTAAGAAAAAGCTATCAGAAAAAAATTTAAGAAAATGATTCCATTTACAATAGCACCCATCAATAAAATAGTAAATTTAACCAAGGAAGTAAAAGATCTATAAACCTGAAAATTATAAAATCTCAATGAAAGGCATTGAGAAAGATACAAATGGAAAGATGTCCAGTGATGATGGATTGTAAGAATACATGTTGTTAAAATGTCTTTCTTCTCTCATCATAACACCATGACTAGTATTTTAGATGTGCCGATGGCATTTGGCAGGTCCTTGAGGTTTATCTACTTCTTCCAATCTCATGTCTCTCTTTCTCTGTTGGTCTATTTTCATTTGTTCTTTCTTCTATTATCTCCATTTGCTACTAAATTTATCAAGAATATTTTCATTTAGGGATTGTAGTTTTTAGTTCTAGAATTGCCATTTAAAGAATAATTTGTCTACTGACAAGTTCTTTTTGTTTCTTTTAAGTGTATTTGCCCTATAGAATTAATATGAGAAAAGGGAAAAATGGAAACAAAGTCTTTGTAAATAGGGAGGGATAGAGGGGTTGAAGGGAGGGCTGGGCAAGGGTGAAAAATAAGAACCAAGAGAGACTATGTAAAGGTGCAAATTTCCAATG